AGACAGCGGCAGTGGCTCAGAGGATGAGGTCAACACTGCCACCTTGCAGGCCCCCTCCAGCAGCCCCGACGTGTCTCGTGCATCCTCGGAGGCCGGGGAAGGATCCACCAGTGAGTGTTGCACTTTGCACACACATGGGCGGGGGAGGGAGGAGCCAGGCACCGGGCGGGGGAGAGCACGTCACTCAGGCCACGTGAGCTGCATGGGCTGTGTAGCATTAGGCAGTATGCAGCACATGCAACCATGTGGCCGCAGCAGGCAGCTCCAGGGCACGCCTGTGACTATGCTGCTCACATACATCCGGCAGGACCGGAGGGGAAGGGTGGATGCTGTCTGGATGCCAGGGTGGAAGGGGAAGGGTGGATGCCGGGGCCCCAGGCACCTCTGCAAGAGTGCAGCACGCAGAACGGCACACTGTCCCATGCCTGGCTGTGAAGCACAGCCAGCTGCTCCTGGGAAAACTGCAGCATCACAAACCGTGAGCGTGGCCCCTACTGAGCCCCTCGCCTGCTCTCGGTGCCTTGACTGGCTCCCCGAGGGAAGTCCCCACTGCGGCCACACATGTCCCTGGGCTACGTGTGTGAGGTCTAGTGGGAGGGAGAAGGGGGGAAGTGCTTGGGCTGCTCCTACGGCCGCCTGAGTTTTGCTGCAAGGATGGGACACTCCCCAGTCACTCTCCTGGTTCCTTCCAGGAGATATCCCACGCGATGGGGATCTGAGAGCCCAGACCATGTCTGCCAGATGTGCTCCCAGAGGAGTAATGGTAGAAAGCCTAATTCGAACTACCTACTCCGTGCCGCGTGTAGCCGCGGGCACGGAGTCCGAACTACCGGGGATTTTAAAATGGCGGCGCCCGGCAAGATGCAAATGAAGCCCGGGATATTTAAATCCCGGGCTTCATTTGCAACTTTGATTGACTAAATTAACCACCCTAGTTCGAACTAGGGTGGTAGTGTAGACATACCCTCAGTGACTTGGGTTTGGAAAACTGGAGTACGTAGGGATAGCAGGCTTTCAGGAGTTCAAGTCTGCAGTGTGTACAAACACAGCATGGGATGACTGCATGTCCCAGAGGCAGCAGGCATCACAAAATAGACTTTCAGATATCTCTGCTCTGTGCCATGTAAAGGTTCCTCAGCTGGCCTGAGAACCCATCTTTACAACCTCATGAGATTATACCCTCAGAAACAAGTATCTGTACTCAAGAACTTCTTGCCTTTTTAATTTATTTTTATTGTTCTTCTCTCCATTCCCTCCTCTGTCTTTTTTTTAATCCAAGATGTAATCTGCTGGTGTGGGAAGCATACATTTATTGATCATCCTAGTTTCTCTCCAGAGAGGGAAATTTTAAGTTACTTATTTTTTGGAGAAAAGGGATTGAACTTTCAAATGTCATTAACTATAAAAGTTAAATATAACTTTATTGTGATTTATTGCTAGTGAGGGAAGTAGGGATGTGTCTGATCTGGTCTGATGTGATGCTTTTGAGGGAGCTGCCAAAGCTGTTGATTTTCTTGTCTGAGCCCTGTGTCACATGTTGCTTTAACCAATGGCGCATGCGTGCAAGGTCTTGGCTATAATGGTGCTCCCGAATGAGTTGCTGTTGTTGTTCTCTCAGTTGAAGCTTGAACAATTTGAGGATGTGTGAGCGTCGGATGAGGCTGAGAAGTTCATGGCGCAGTCGCCAATTCTCTGCTTTCACCTGCTTGGTATGATGGATTAGGCTGCGTACAGCTTCCTCTTCAGCTCTCTTGGCCAGAGACTGAACCTTCTGATGAGAGTCCAGCTCATATTCAGCTTTTGCTTGCAGGAATTTGCTCTTGACCTTGTGCATTTGCTCTGAGTGCTGGATTTTTGTGATCAGCAGTTCTTTCTCCAGCTCCTTGATTCTACTCAGTTGTTCCAACTGCAGGTCCTTGAAGGGTTGCAAGTCTTCAACCTCCTTGTTCATAAGAGAATACTTTGTCTCCATCTCCATCAGTTGGTTCCTCACCTCCTTCTCTTTATCTGTGTACTGTGAGATCAGCTCTTCCTTCTGCTTTCGGATCTGTGCCAGATCAGAGTGGTTCTGGTCATTTAGTGTGATGATAGCATTTTGACATTTCTGAGTGTGTTTGCTTATATAGGTCACATAGGCTTTACTGTCCTCCTGAATCTTCTGAGCCTCCTTATCCAGGAACTCATTCTCCCACAGGAAGTGCTCTATTCGCTTCATGTACGTGTTCACATGATCAGTCAGGATCTTATATTCCTTCTGCAGATACTGCTCTCTCTCTCTCACAAACGGTTCTGTGCTGCTCCTTGCCTTAGATATATCACCTTCTTTTCTATTTGTTCCTTGCTTGCGTTCCCCAAAACCATTAGCTTTTTGTTCTGGCTTCTTTTTCTTGGATGCCATGTTCAGTGCTGGGGTGCTAGGTATACTAGCAAAATACAACAGCGTAAGGGTAATTATATATTGTAGGTGAAGAACTAGAAACATATATTTAAAGTTGGCTAACTCTTCCCATTTCCTGTTTTTAACTGATTGAAATATTGGCAGATTTTAATTGGTTGGCCTGAAATTTTCATGCTTGATCTCTTATTCAGGTTGAATTTGGGAGGGGTTGTGTGGCCAGGACTAGAATGACATTACTGAATGACAGTATCCTATCTTTCAACAGTGGCCAGTGCTAGGTGCATCAGAAGGGGTGGACAGAACAAGTAATCATCAGGTGGTCCATCCCCTGTCACCCATTTCCAGCTTCTGGCAAACTGAGGCTAGACACACCTCCCTGCCCATCCTGCCTAAAAGCCATTGATGGACCTATCCTCCATGAATTTATCTATCTCTTTTTTTAACCCTGTTATAATTTTAGCCTTTAAAACATCCTCTGGCAAAGAGTTCCATAGATTGACTGTGCATTATGTGAAGAAGTACTTCCTTTTGTTTGTTTTAAACAAGCTATCTATTAATTTAATTTGGTGACCCCTAGTTCTTGTGTTATGGGAAGGATTACATAATGCTTCTTTATTAACTTTTTTCACACCAGTCATGATTTTATAGATCTCTATTATATCCGCCCTTGGTCATCTCTTTTCAAAGCTGAAAAGTCCCAGTTTTATTCATCTGTCCTTATATGGCAGCCGTTCCATATCCCTAATTATTTTTGTTGCTCTTTTATGAACTGTTATCAATGCTAAGATATCTTTCTTGAGATGAAGCAACCATATCTGCATGCAGTACACAAGATGCAGGTGTACCATGGAGGTAATAAGATACTCTCTGGGGGTATGTCTACACTACCCCGCTAGTTCGAACTAGCGGGGTAATGTATGCATACCGCACTTGCTAATGAAGCCCGGGATTTGAATTTCCCGGGCTTCATTAGCATAAGCGGGGAGCCGCCATTTTTAAATCCCCGCTGCTTCGAACCCCGTGTAGCGCGAGGAGTAACGCGGAGTAACGGTAGTTCGGAATAGGAACCTAGTCCGAACTACCTAGTTCGAGCCCCGTGTAGCCGCGCTACACGGGGTTCGAAGCAGCGGGGATTTAAAAATGGCGGCTCCCCGCTTATGCTAATGAAGCCCGGGAAATTCAAATCCCGGGCTTCATTAGCAAGTGCGGTATGCATACATTACCCCGCTAGTTCGAACTAGCGGGGTAATGTATGCATACCGCACTTGCTAATGAAGCCCGGGATTTGAATTTCCCGGGCTTCATTAGCATAAGCGGGGAGCATATGGAGGAGTAACGGTTTCAGATATCTCTCTTGAGTGGTAGCAGCTAATTTGGGCTACATAATTTTATACTTATAATTAGGATTATGTTTTCCAATATGCATTACTTTGTATTTATGAACATAAAAATTATTCTGCTAATTTATTGTCCAGTCACCTAGTTTTGTGAGATTACTTTGAAGATCTTCACAGTCTGCTTTGGACTTAATTATCTTGATCACTTTAGCATAATCAGCAAATTTTGCCACCTCACTGTTTATTCCTTTCTCCAGATAATTTATGAATATGTTGGACTAGAATTGGTCCCAGGGTGTACCCTTGGGGGATATCACCAGTTACCTCTTTCGATTCTCAAATCTGACCATTCATTCCTACCATTTGTTTCCTCTCTTTTAATCAGTTAAAGAAGTGGACAGGGGGCTGAAGACAGGAGTAGTTGAGAGGGAGCACAAGAGATCCGAACACTGAACAGGCGAGTGTACTAGTTTTTGGCATGAGTGAGTTTGCTTGACTGTTTGCATTTTGTTTCTGTTTCTATTGCAGGTGATTTCAGTTAATGTGGCAATTGGGATTGGGTGTCTGGGAGCGTTTGATCTTTTGTTTCCTTGATTCCCTTTGATCAGCCTCATTCAGCCTTGGGATCAGTTTGCCCCATGTGGCTAACGAGGGGGAAGGCCTGACTTAGGTGAGCATGTTTCAAAAGCCAGAGGCAGACCAACCAGGGGACTGAAGTGGACAGGGGTCTGCAGATGGAGAAAGTTGAGAGGGAGTGCAAGAGATCCCACTGCTGAACAGGCCACCAAGACAGTGTTCTAGCTTTGGTGTGAGTGAGTTTGCTTGACTGTTTATTTTTCTGTTGCAGTTGGTGTGGCGGTTGGGATTGGATATCTGGGGGGGTTGATCTTTTGTTCCCTTGATCAGTCTCACTCAGCCTTGGGATCAGCCTCCCCCTATGTGACTGTATAGGGGGTAGGCCTGACCTAGGTGAGCAGGCTTTAAAAGCCAAAGGCAGAGCAACCAGAGAAGCGAAGCAGAACAGAGAGCTGCAGACAGGGGAGCTTGAGAGGGCCTCCTAATATGGTTAGGAAGACCTGCAACACTCGTGCCACCACTGCTTCTGTCACCTCCACCTGCACCTGTAGCCAGATAGACCACCTGACTACAGATGCCTCTACCCAGATCCTGGTGTGGTTTTGCAGGGACTGTGGCTTGCAACTTCCACTTATTGAAATCCAGGCTGGGGAGACCATTCAATGTGAAAGGTGTCTGCTGGTGGAATCTCTCAGGAAGCAGGTGGGAGAACTAGAGGAGGAGGTGACTAGGCTAAGGAGTATTCGAGCCCATGAGGAATTCTTTGAGAGTATTCATGTGGAGACCACTCATGCTGAGGAAGCTATCCCATTACAAAAGACTGCTGGCACACCATTGGTAGAGGAGGACATGGCTCTCTTTCAGGGGGGACTCTGGCAGCTCATCACTTCTGGCAGCAGGCAGTACTCCACCCCTGCTCCCAACCTTCCCACTGTGGTTTTAGAGAATCATTACACGGTTCTGGTTACAGGAGATAAAGAATCACCGTCTAAAGAGGAGAAGCCATGTACCCCTAAGTCTGAGAGGTCTGCAGCCACCACTGCAAAGAAGAAGGGTAGGGTAGTAGCAGTTGGAGACTCTCTTCTGAGGGGGACAGAGACACCTATCTGTCGCCCTGACATGTCATCTCAAGAGGTATGCTGCCTCCCAGGGGCCCGTATCCGAGATGTTAAGAGGGCACTGTTGAGGATTATCTAGCCCTCTGACTACTACCCCATGCTACTCATCCATGTGAGCACTAATGATACTGCAAGGTGTGACCTTGAGCAGATCAAGAGTTGTAGTAAGATGAAGGGCTAAAACATAAGCCCATGTAGCATAGGCCTGGTCTGAGGCCTGAGGCCTAGCTAACAGGCAAAACTTAGCTAACATAAAGCAAAGCTAAGCTGTGAGCAAGAGCCTGCCTCTTGCTCACAGCTTAGCTTTGCTTTATGTTAGCCAAGTTTTGTCTGTGAGGAGTGGATACGAAGGTCTTCTTTAATGAGTGGTACCATGTGATTTCAACTTAAGACCAGCACCAATTACCAGGGTTGCCCGGTGTCTGGTTTTGAACTGGACGGTCCAGTATTTGAGCTTTCTGTTCAGGAACCCAACTTAGAAAATATAAATGTCCGGTATGTTCTAAATAAGATGTAATGTAGATTGTGATGTAATGTCAAGCATGTCTGGTATTTTAGTTGAAACCATCTGGCAACTCTACCAATTACTGTTCTGCACCTGGGCCTATTACCAGTTTGTGTTTTGCACTCTCAACCCAGTTTGTGCCAAGTTCTGTGAGCAAGGGCCTATCTCTTGCTCACAGCTTAGCTTTGCTTTATGTTTTGTCTGTTGTTAGCTAGGCCTCAGGCTTCAAACAAGGCCTGTGCTACATGGGCTTATGTTTTAGACCTTCATCTTACTACAGAAGTGACTACAGGGCTCTGGGAAGATGGGTAAAGGAGTTTGGAGCACAGGTGGCATTCTCTTTAGTCCTTCTCGTCAAAGGTAGAGGCCCAGGCAGAGACAGGTGATTCCTGGAGGTGAATGCTTGGCAACAAAGATGGTGTTGACAGGAGGGATTTGACTTCCTTGGCCATGGGATGCTGTTCCAAGAAGAAGGACTGCTAAGCAGAGATAGGGTTTACCTTTCAAGGAAGGGGAAAGAGAGTATTTGGATATAGACTGGCTAGCCTAGTGAGGAGGGTTTTAAATTAGTTCCAGTGGGGGCAGGTGACTGAAGCCCGCTGGTACATGAAAATCATGGAGACCTGGGAGATGGCTCAGAATTGGGAGGGAGCATGGGCTATAATAGCAGTAATAAAGGACAGGCAGAGAGAACTGGGGTGGGGGGGAGGGGGGACTGAAATCAGTATCTTAGATGCCTATATACAAATGCAAGAAGTATGGGAAATAAAAGGAAGAACTTCAAGTGCTAAAAAATAAACACAACTATTACTAAGTTGGCATCACAGAGACATGGTAGGATAATACACACGATTGGAATAAAATATAGCTTACTCAGGAAGAGAAAAATGGAGGAGGTGTTGCCTTATATATTAAAAATGTATATACTTGGACTGAGGTGGAGATGGACATAGGAGACAGACTAGTTGAGAATCTCTGGGTTAGGTTAAAAGAGGTAATAACCAAGGGTGATGTCATACTAGGATTCTACTACAGACCACCTACCCAAGCAGAAGAGGTGGATGAGGCTTTTTTTAAACCACAAAATCATCTAAAGTTCAGGATTTGGTGATGATGGAGGACTTAAACTATCCAGGCATATGTTAGGAAACTAACACAGCAGGACACAGATTATCCAGTAAGTTCTTGGACTGCATTGGAGACAATTTCTTATTTCAGAAGGCTGAGAAAGCAACTGGGGGGGGGAAGCTATTCTAGATTTGATTTTAACAAATAGGGAGGAACAGGTTGAAAATTTGAAAGTGGAAGGCAGCTTGGGTGAAACTGACCATGAAATCATAGAGTTCATGATTCTAAGGAATGGTAGGGTATGTCTACACTACCACCCTAGTTCGAACTAGGGTGGTAATGTAGGCAACCGGAGTTGCAAATGAAGCCCGGGATTTGAATTTCCCGGGCTTCATTTGCATAAAGCCGGGCGCCGTTTTTCATGAGGAGTAACGGTAGTTCGGACTAGGAAGCCTAGTCCGAACTACCTAGTCTGTGCCGCATGGCAGCACGGAGTCTGCACTAGCGGACATTTAAAAATGGCGGCGCCCAGCTTTATGCAAATGAAGCCCAGGAAATTCAAATCCCGGGCTTCATTTGCAACTCCGGTTGCCTACATTACCACCCTAGTTCGAACTAGGGTGGTAGTGTAGACATACCCTGATAGCTTTCTTTGATAGGATAACAAGTCTTGTGGATAAAGGAGAAGCAGCTGACATGGTATGCCTAGACTTTAGTAAGGCATTTGATACGGTCTTGCGGCAGATGGGGTTGGGGGAGATCTAGGCTTGGGGGAGGAAGAACAAATCATGTCAAACCAATCTGATAGCTTTCTTTGATAGGATAACAAGTCTTGTGGATAAAGGAGAAGCAGCTGACATGGTATGCCTAGACTTTAGTAAGGCATTTGATACGGTCTTGCATGAACTTCTTATCAGTAAATTAGGGAAATACAACTTAGATGGGGCTACTATAAGGTGGGTGCATAACTGGCTGACTAGCTGTTCTCAGAGAGTAGTCATTAACGGCTCTCAGTCATGCAGGGGCCTGTTTTGGGACCGGTTCTGTTCAATATCTTCATCAACAATTTAGATGATGGAATAGAGATCACGTTTATTAAGTTTGCAGTTTGTACCAAATTGGGGGGCGGGGAGGGGTGTTGCAAGCACTTTAGAGGACAAGGTCATAATTCAAAATTATCTGGACAAACTGGAGAAATGGTCTGAGGTAAATAGGATGAAGTTTATTGAGGACAACTGCAAAAAACTCCACTTAGGAAGGAACAATCAGTTTCACACATAGGCTACGTCTACACTGGCATGATTTTCCGAAAATGCTTTTAACAGAAAACTTTTCCATTAAAAGCATTTTTGGAAAAGCGCGACTAGATTGGCAGGATGCTTTTCCGCAAAAGCACTTTTTGCGGAAAAGCGTCCGTGGCCAATCTAGACGCGCTTTTCTGCAAAAAAGCTCTTTCCTGGACAATCACTTCCCATTCTGTATGGCTGTGCCTAGACTGGCAAGTTTTTCCGGAAAATCAGCCGCTTTTCCAGAAAAACTTGCCAGCTGTCTACACTGGCCGCTTGAATTTCCGGAAAAGCACTGACGATCTTACATGAGATCGTCAGTGCTTTTCCGGAAATTCAAGCGGCCAGTGTAGACAGCTGGCAAGTTTTTCTGGAAAAGCGGCTGATTTTCCGGAAAAACTTGCCAGTCTAGGCACAGCCATACAGAATGGGAAGTGATTGTCCAGGAAAGAGTACTGTTGAAAGGGATTTAGGGGTCATAGTGGACAAGTTAAACATGAGTCAACAGTGTGACACTGTTGCAAAAAAGCAAACATGATTCTGGGATGCATTAACAGGAGTGTTATGAGCAAGACACGATAAGTCATTCTTCTTCTTCTCTACTTTACACTGATTAGGCCTAGATGTGGAGAAATTGGAGAAGGTCCAGAGAAGAGCAACAAAAATGATGAAAGGTCTAGAAAGCATGACCTATGAGGGAAGACTGAAAGAATTGGGCTTGTTTAGTTTAGAAAAGAGAAGACTGAGAGAGGATATGATAGCAGTTTTCAAGTATCTAAAAGGGTGTTACAAGGAGAGAGAAAAATTTGTTCTCCTTGGCCTCTGAGGATAGCATAAGAAGCAATGGGCTTAAATTGCAACAAAGGAGGTTTAGGTTGGACATTAGGAAAAATTTCCTACCTGTCAGGATGGTTAAACACTGGAATAAGTTGCCTAGGGAGGTTGTGGAATCTCTATCGCTGGAGATATTTAAAAGGAGGTTGGATAGACATCTCTCAGGGATGATCTGGAGGGTGCTTGGTCCTGCCCTGAGTGCAGGGAACTAGATTTGATGATCTCTCAAGATCCTTTGCAGTTCTAGTATTCTATGATTTATCAGTCCATGAGAGGACCTTCTCTCTTATCCCATTACAAAATACTTTGCTTAAGAGCCTTTAGTGAGGAACCTGGTCAAAGGCTTTCTCAAAATCTAAGTACATTATCTCCACTGGACTCCCCGGCTGTGTCTAGACCGGCCAGTTTTTCCGGAAAATCAGCCGCTTTTCCAGAAAAACTTGCCAGCTGTCTACACTAGCCGCTTGAATTTCCGCAAAAGCACTGACTTCCTACTGTAAGAAATCAGTGCTTCTTGCGGAAATACTATTCTGCTCCCGTTCAGGCAAAAGTCCCTTTTGTGCAAAGCTTTTTCAGAACTCTTGTGTGAATGCCATCTGGTCCTGGTGACTTGTTATTATTTAGTTTATCAATTTGTTCCAAAACCTCCTCTAATGACTCCTCAGTCTGGGACAATTCCTCACATTTGTCACCTTAAAAAATGGCTTAGGTTTGGGAATCTCTCTCACGACCTCAGTTGTGAAGACCAATGCAAAGAATTAAGTTTGTTTCTCTGCAATGACTTTATCATTCTTGTGTGCTCCTTTAACATCTTGATTGTCCAGTGGCCCCACTTGTTATTTATCAGGCTTCCTGCTTCTGATGTACCTAAAAATGTGCTATTACTTTTTGAGTTTTTGGCTAGCTGTTCTTCAAATTCCTTTTTGGCTTACCTAATTATATGTGTATACTTCATTTGATGACGTTTATGCTCCTTTCTACTTTCATCATTAGGATTTAACTTCCACTTTTTTTTAAAAGATGCCTTTTTATCTCTCATTGCTTCTTTTACTTGGTTGCTAAGCCATGATGTCATTTTTTTTGGTCCTTTTACTATGTTTTAAAATTTGGGTATACATTTAAATTGAGCCTCTGTTATGGTGCCTTTGAAAAATGTGCATGCATTTTGCACGGATTTCATTTTTTGGCACTGTACCTTTTAATTTCTGTTTAACCTCCTTATTTTTGCATAGTTCCCCTTTCTGAAATTCAATGCCACAGTGTTGGGCTGATGTGGTGGTTTCCCACTATAGGGATGTTATTATGGTCACAGTTTCCAAGTGGTCTAGCTATAGTGACCTCTTGGACCAGATCCTGGACTTCACTTAGGACTTGCCTCTCGTCTTGTGGATTCCAGAACCAGCTGCTTTAAGAAGCAGTCATAGAATCATAGAATCATAGAACTGGAAGAGACCTCAGAAAGTCATCAAGTCCAGCCCCCTGCTCTAGGCAGGCCCAATTCCAACTAAATCAACCCGGCCAGGGCTTTGTCAAGCCGAGACTTAAACACCTCTAGGGATGGAGACTCCACTACTTCCCTAGGTAACCCATTCCAGTGCTTCACCACCCTCCTAGTGAAATAGTTTTTCCTAATATCCAACCTGGACCTTTCCTACCACAACTTGAGCTTTTAAGCAGTCATTTAAGGTGTCAAGAAACTATCTCTCTATCCCTTCCTAAGGTGACATGTTCCCAGTCAATATGGGAAATCCCCCATTATTATTGAGTTTTTTTTTTATTTTTATAGCCTTTCTATATGAAAGGCTGATTGGAATAGCAGGGGGGCATAGAGGTCAGGACTGAGAGATTTTTGACAGAATTGTGTGAGTTTAGGAAGATGGATGAAAGATCTATAAGGGTCAAATTCTCTGTGTGTGGAAAGGCCTATAATGTTTCCAGGCTTGTGAAAGAAGGCCCCAGAATTCAGAGCTCCAAGGGAGCCCTGAAAGGTCTGAAGCATATATTTGAAACTCTCTAACCTCCATTGTCTTACCTTCTCTCCCACTCTTGATCTTAATAAACTTTCAGGTAGTTTCTCTATCTATGAACTCCCAGGAAGTAGTAGAATAGTAATTTCTGACAGCAGGACCGATCATCAGCTGTGTGGCTTTGCCACATAGTAAGAAGTCGAACACACTAGTGTGATTGGCCTTTCTTGAAAGTTGTGTGTATCCAAGGTGACAGAATATCATGACATCACAGGGCAAGTTCTATCTGTCCATGCTGATGGATGGGCAGGGTCCAATATATAGAGCAACTATGTAGGTGCATAAATTAACACCAGAATATTCAGAATATTCTTAATAACAATGCTCTAGATATTTGAGCATCTTTTAATTATTGCTCTCATCTCTTTCATTCCCCAGTCTAATGCTCATGATTGCAAATTAAACCCTCAAAATCTGACTTGTGTATAAGCACATCTGTCTATCAAACCATTCATATCAATGGGGCATTAATTTGGAAGCCTGATGATAATTTTTAAATTTCAATATTGTTAAGTGTTTATATAAGTGACTAAAAGGAATGAAAATATAAGGGTCCGACATACTTATTAATTGCAGTGTGCTAGATAATGTTAAAATGTTATAGCTTCATGTATCTATTTATAAAGATGACATGAATTCATTGTAATTCAGGAGGATGGTAAGAGTCCAACAATGGCATTTGTTACAATACAGGAAAATATTGGGGTCCTGTTATCATTTAGCAGGGACATCATTAATTGTGCTGCTACTTTTCGGATGGCTGTAATAGTAGTAATTAAGAAGTGAGTGTGGCAGGTAGTTGCACCTGAGTTTTGGTTCAGTGAGAAATGAGATGTTTAAATCCCTGTCTTTGAAATATAAACGCATCTCTGATCCTTGCCCAAAAAGTGGGAGGAAAATTTGTTGGGGTTAGGGTTTAGGGTTTAGGG